GTAAGATAGTTAAGTTTTCCAACAAGTCTTCGATCAGGATTAGCAAGAGGTTCCCCCTGTCCAGGTGAAAGTTTTAAATTAGGATCCATATGAGAGTCTATTAGTCTGCAATTTGACATCCCTGTTTCCTCTAGAATATCCAGTATATACTTCCTTTGAGAAATAACAATACCAGATTTGGACTGAGCGACTTCTATGCCAAGAAAGTATTTGAGTAGCCCTAAGTCTTTCGTCTGAAAGTGTTTGAACAAGTGTTGCTTCAACTGTCCAATGCCATCTTGATCACGTCCTATAATAATAATATCATCGACATAGACAACCAGATAGATACATTGCCCTAATGATGTATGTCTATAGAAAACAGAGTGATCAGACTCACATCGAATCATACCAAACTCTTGGATAACTGTACTAAATCATCCAAACCAAGCACGAGGAGACTGTTTTAGGCCATATAGAGAATGACGAAGTTTACATACCAAACCAAACTCCCCCTGAGCAACAAAACTAGGACGTTGCTCCATATAAATATCTTTCTGAAGTTCACCATGAAGAAAAGCATTCTTAATATCCAATTGATGCAGAGGCCAGTGTCGAATGGCAGCAATAGCAAAGAACAACCGGACAGAAGACATCTTAGCAACAGGAGAAAAAGTGTCAAAATAATTTGTCCCATAGATCTGAGTGTAACCCTTGGCCACTAAACGGGCTTTTAGTCGATCAACCTTACCATCTGGACCAACCTTTACAGTGTAAATCCATCGACAACCAACAGTCAAATGGCCCGAAGGTCAGGAAACTAACTTCCAAGTATGATTATGATGCAAAGCAGACATTTCTTCAACCATTACCTGAAGCCACTCGGGATGAGAAAGTGCCTCATGAACAGTGCAAGGAACAGAAGCAGAAGAAAGGGTGAATACAAAAGCATAATATGAAAGATATAAATGATGATAACTCAAAAAATTGTAGATGGGATGAGGGTTGATTGCAGACCGCATACCTTTACAAATAGCAATGGGAACCTGATCAACTTGAGACAAGACCGTGGCATTGGAGGAATCGAGCATATGACCTGCAGTGATAGAGGTCTTAGGAACAGCAGCAGGAACATCAGGATCATCTGTAAAAGGAACAAGACTAGTGTTGACAGGAAGAGTGGTATTAGTAGTAGACTGAGGTACCAAATAGACGAAGGTGGAAAAACAATGTATGGAATTGGTAGGACATCTACTATCGGATCAGACTCTAATGTAGGATGAGAAAAAAATGGAGAAGACTCAAAGAACGTAACATCAGCAGAGATGAAGTAGCGATGTGTGGCTGGAGAATAACACTTGTAGCCCTTCTGAAGACGTGAATACCCTAAGAAAATACACTTTGTAGACTTGGCTGACAGTTTATCCTGACCATGAGAGAAAATGTGAACAAAACAGGTGCTCCTAAAGACACGTGGGGGAAGAAAAAATAATGGATGATCAGGGAATAATATGGAGTGTAGGACCTGGTCTTGTAAGACAGAAGAAGGCATGCGATTGATTAAGTAACAAGCGGTCAGAACAGCGTCAGCCCAAAAACAGAAAGGGACATGGCTATGTAACATAAGAGTGCGAGCAGTTTCAATGAGGTGTCTATTTTTACGCTTAGCAATGCCATTCTGTTGGGGACTATAAGCACAAGAAGACTGATGAAGAATTCCCTGAGATGACATGAATTTAGTAAATGAATCAGAGAAATATTCACGAGCATTATCACTCCGTAATATATGAATGTTAGTATTATGTTAGTCTTAATTTCAACACAAAATGATAAGAATATGGAAAATAATTCAGAACGAGATCGCATAAGAAAAAACCAAGTGCAACGGGAATAGTCATCAATAAAGGTAACAAAATATTTAAATCCCAAATTAGAGGTAACACGAGAAGGACCCCACACATTTGAATGCACTAACTCAAAGGGAGGCACAACCCGTTTATTGACACGCTTTGGAAAAGAACTACGAGTATGCTTTCCAAGTTGACACGACTCACAACTCAAAGACGATAATTTAGATAGACCTAGGATCATTTTCTGAAGTTTGGAAAGACTAGGATGGCCCAAACGATTATGAAGGAGATCCGGAGACTCGGAGACAGTGCATGTTGTAAATGGGATATGGAGATGATAGAGACCCTGTGACTCACGTCCGGTGCCAATCATCCGTCCCGTGTCGCGGTCCTCTATAACAACAGAGTCAGTATCAAAAAGAATAAAGCAATTTAAAGAGCCTGTAAGTTTACTGACAGACACGAGATTAAAGGGACAGTGGGAAATATAAAGTACAGAGTTTAATTCTAAGGAAAGGAAGGGTTTTGTACAACCAATAGCTTGAACGTCGGCTTTAGATCCATTAGCTAAAGTAACAGGGGGTAAAGATGCAGTATTTATAATCTGAGTAAGTAAATAAGGGTTACTAGTAATATGATCCAAGGCACCTGAATCCAGGACCTAAGGTTTTAGAGCGGAAGACTTAGTAAGGCAGGTAACTGAATTACCTGTTTGAGCGATGGAGGCAATGGACGAAGAAGACTGCTTACTGGCCTGATACTGTAAGTATTCATCATAATCAGTACTTGTGAGAGTTAAGGAGGGCTGAACCTGCATTGTAGAGGACTTAGAATGAAGATCAGAGTGATTAGCCTGAGCAATATTAGCAGCCTAGGTAGGTCGACCATGTAACTTAAAACATTTCTCTCTGGTATGCCCCTACCGATGACAGTAACTGCACTTGGGTCGATTTCCCCTACCACCTTGATCGCCCTGTTCTCTTTTAGTAAAAGTATGGGACTAAGAAACAAGAACCGAAGAGTCACCAGGGGAATGCACTGTAGTAGAAGAGGAAACACGAAGTAATCTGGCAAACACTTTATCAAGGGAAGGCATAGTAGATCCAGAAAGGATTTGATCTCGTACAGGTGTAAGATCTGGACCTAGAGCTGCAAGTGTCAGGACCATAAAGAACTTGTCCCATTGAGTCAAATCTTCTGCCGCAGATTTACCAGCTGGTAACAGCAGATTGAATTCGGTCTGAAGGGAGGCCATCTTACCAAGGAAGTCTGACATATTCATATCCTGTTGTTTGAGATGAACCAAGTTAGACACAACAGAATATAAACGTTGAATGTCATTTGTATAGAGAAGTTAAGCTTGACTCCAAATATCAACATAAGAGCGGTAAGGTGTGTAAATAGGATGAAGGGGGGGATCAATAGTTTGCCATAACATACTACACAACAGAGCATCAATTTTAGTCCAGGAAGACTTATTTGATGTAATATCGGCAGCCTTGGTGGTCAAGTGATCCTTCAGACCTTGACTCATACACCATAATTCGACAGAGGCAGCCTAGGATGAATAATTAGCAGTCCCAATTAATTTCTCAGTGGTGATGGGAGGGAGAGATAAAAAAGAAAAACCACTTGGATGTGATTGAGAGGCTGATTTAGGGGGATCCATGAAGAAGATCAGAGTGTCTTGAAGCTGACAGAAAAGCAGAAGCTCACGCTCGTCGGAAAAACAGATCAAAGCAGAAACTGACAGAAATTCCTTGAAGGGTTTTACTGGCGAGGTGGAGAGGAACAAAATGTTGGTGGCGGTGAGAGCTCACGCTTGCCGAAAAAGCAGATCGGAGCAGAGGCTATCGAAAACTCGATTGGCGTGTAAGGGCACGTGCAGCGGCGGCCGACAACGAAACCACTTGGGTTATGACGACGATGAGGAGATGATCAGTCTAGTATGGTTAGACTAGATCCTGATCATTGCTAGAAAGCAATCACCAGAGAACAGTCTTCGAAAAAAAAAAAAAACGAGAAAGAGAGGAAAAAAATTTGGAACTTCAGAGACCTGGCTCTGATACCATGTGAAGAAATACTTTTTTTTTATTACATATTTCACAATGAAATGTACAATGAATTTATAGCTAAAAACAAAAAACTAATCTAGGAAGTAAATTGTTACATTCCTATTATAACTGATCTAATTCTTAATAGCTTTGATCCTAACCTAATATAAAAGATAGTCTTTAATGAGAATAATCCTATTTCCTATTTTACAATGAGAATAATCATATTTCCTATTTTACACTTTAACACATGGGTTGCCTTATCCTTTATGGTCTCACAAAGGGCTTTGCATGGTTTCTTCTATGTTGGGTCGACCGTTGTCGAGTGATAAGACTACTTTTGAACGGACTTGTTTAGATTAGGCACGGGTATGTGTTGAGATAGATGCAGCCAAGCCTCTCAAGCGCCAATTTGAATTTCAATGCCGGTTATCTACTGAACCGATTCAGATTATAGTGGAATATGAGTGGACCCCCAAGAGATGCCCCCAAATGCTGTGTTTTTTGCCATGTTTGTCACCAACCAGAGGTACCTACTGCACCTATGGCTCAGGATAAGAGTAAGACAATTATTAGCTTCCAAAAGGCATTGGGAAGTGGTATTGTAGTGCAATCTGAGGACCACGAGCCTTTGAGATAGTCAGCTACTACTAATCCCATTAGGGAGGGGGAGCGGTAGAGGGATGTTTCAGCACCAGCTAGGGTTTCAGTTCTGGATGGGGCTACTACCATGCATTCTAGTGTAGCTATAGTTGGGGATGTTTCTTTGGATTTGATCCCATATCAGCAGACTGTTCATGCCAGTAGAGGTGAATTCTCCAACTTTGATTTTGGGTCGGATCTTGATACGCCTTTTCCTATTGAAGTTTAGCAGGACCGTATTATGGGCTTCACAAACTGCACGGGAAACACTCAGGCTTCCCTTATGAGTTCTGGGAGTAGGCAATCTACTTCCTTCAACAGGCTTGCCTCGCTTGTTCTGCATAGTGATGATCTCTAGACGCCAGATGCCACCTTATCTGGATCAATTTCCCTACGATCCTTGAAAAAGGGGAAGGGCTGGGGAAAGCGGGGGCCTAGGCAAATGATTGTATAGCTTGTTTCTATCCCAATTCCAATGATAAGGAGTTGGAATATTAGAGGCCTTAACGGCTTCTCGAAACAACGCGCGGTGAGGAATTGGATTTCTAATTCGTCTTTGGGTTTGATTGGTTTGTTGGAAACTAAGGTTCAGCAGTCTTATCTACAGTCGGTGGTCTCGACAGTTTGTCCTTCGTGGCAGTTTTTGTCAAATGTGATGGACTCTATTGCCTGTCGAATTCTGGTATGTTGGGATCCTTCTCTTTACTTTGTAGATAGCCTTCATTTCTCTCTTCAGGAGGTCACTTGCAGGGTTACTCATGTTTCAAAGGGGTTCTCCTTTGGGATTACCTTTGTGTATGGTTCTAATGACCTTAGGAATCGCCGCAACCTGTGGGATTTCCTTAGGGATCAGGCGGCGGAGTTTGATTCGGAGGGGTTACCATGGCTTGTGTTGGGTGATTTTAATGCCATTTTGGGAGCCTCTGATAGAATGGGTGGTGATCTTACGTGGTATGGTTATGTGGATGATTTTGGCCACTGTATTCATGATACTGAGTTGATTGGATTTCCTTTTACTGGGCTTCGGTATACTTGGCATAATAGTCAGCAGGGCGATGGGATTATTCTATGGAAGCTCGATTGGGTCTTTGCATCGCTTTCTTGGTTCATTGATCGGCCGACCACAGTTTCAGAGTTTCAACCTCGGGATGTCTCAGATCATAGCTCTATGGTTGTCCGGTTTGGCTCTCGTCGTGGCAAGGTACGATCCCCTTTTAAATTTCTAAATTTTTGGGTTGATCGTGCAAATTTTATGGATATTGTTCAGACAGTTTGGGACGAGCCTATTGTAGGCAATCCTATGTTCCGTCTTACGCAGAAATTGGGGCTATTGAAACGGAAGCTCAAATCTCTACATGTTAGGGATTCCAGCCATATCTCTAGTAGGGTGATTGAGGCTCGTGCTCAGTGGGCTACAGCCCAAGCAAATTTGGACCGGGACCCCCTTTCTACTGAGTGTATCTCTCAGGAGAGGAACCTTGCCAATCGATATTTCAGTCTTTGTCGAGATGAGGAGGCTTTTTTTAAGCAGCGATCTCGTGTTCAGTGGTTGAATTTAGGGGATTAGAATACTAAGTTCTTCCATATGTCATTGATCCACAGGCAGGTTCGGAACCGCATCCATAGTTTGACTAATGGGAATGGTACTCATATTACTGGGGTTTAGGGCGCTTGGTAGTGGGTTTTTTTTAGGATCTTCTTGCTACCCCTACTCAACCTCAGATCGTAGAGGCTTCCAGGTATTTTTCTAGGCATATTCCTTCTGATATGATTTCTCCCTTGACTGCTCCTATCACTGATGATAGATTAGGACTGCTTTATTCTCTATCCCGGATGATAAAGCCCCTGGTCCAGATGGATACACTTCTTTGTTTTTTTAAGCGGGCATGGGAGATTATTAGTACAGATTTCAGAGATACGGTGAGATATTTCTTTGTTACTAATGAAATGCCAAGATGTGTTAATGCTACCAGGATTGCTTTGGTCCCTAAGGTTGTAATAACTCCATTCTATTCAAATACTCATAAAATATGCACATAATGAAAACACATAAAAATAGCATAAATACTTGGGCCCAAATTTTTTCTTTTATTAAACATATATATGTACATAGATATTCTTTACACAAACATTGTAACATGTACAAAAACATCAAAAACAAGAGGGACAGTGTAGCCATTTCCCTTCGCTTGCCGACGCCCATCCGACCGTGTCCTCACCTAGATCCTGCAAAACATAGAAAACAATGGGGTGAGCACAACTAATGCTCAGTAAGTAAATCCTCTACTCATCTATCCCCGTAACTCTCTCTCTAATTCTTTCCTTACAATTCTCATTTACTCTCTCTTTATACTTCTCACTACTTTCTCTTTCTCATAACTCTTTTTACTAACTCTCTCTCTAGTAGTCACGGCCTCATCTTACCGGAGGCATGGCCGGGACTCACTCCCACTCTACGTGACTTCTACTCATTCTAGCCGATCAGACTCGGTTATGCATGGATTCGGAACCCTTGGCCATGTGAGTGTATACTCTCTCTCTCTCGGGTACTCGGGTATAGCCTTCATCTACATGCACTCTCACGGGCTACACCACTTTTCTCTCTCATACTCATGCTGCTCTCTCAATGCGGCGTACATGCGGGAATACTCTACCCATTACTCACGGGTTCCCCATCGCACAACCTACTCTATTCTCTTTTCTCTTTATTCTCTAGTGCTCATTCTCTCTTTCTCTTTACTCTTAAAGTAGCTTATACTCAAATTCTCTACTATGTCTCAAGCTACTTCTTAAGTGCATAAAAAAAATGTGTAGGGATAGCTCATGCTCACTAAGGCTCTTATGAAATGCCAAATACAAGATTTCGTCAAAATAGTCATTCTGCACAGGTCACCCTAAAAAGGCCACAACTTGCATTATACACCTCGGATTGCTACGGTTTTGGTCTCGTTTTAAATATTAGAATTAGGGCTATAACTTCTATGTTTCGGTCTCAGCCCAGTTAAATCCTTAAGATGCCCAAAAATCACTTAGAAAGTCACGGCAGTGACAGGGCAGATTTCACCTAGGCATTTCATCAAGCAACTCATGTGCATATAAACACTCTACTAAAATTACTACTATACCTCATTCTCTAGCCATCCAAAATGGGAGAAAACTCCCTCATATAACCATAATCCCTGTCAAGAAAAGCACTTCCAAATCTGTTTACACAACATCTCTCAAACTTCATCTCAAGTTCCATTTCTCAACACACATTAAAACACTTCTCATATCCAATACGGACGTTTCTAGAATGGCCACCATATGTGCTCATAGGGTTCTCACTATCAAGATTTGAAACACTTGATACCCTCGTCACGGCTCTACCATTCTAAGGACATATATCAATACATATTGCAATAATAATGCTTTACGCGATATAGAATAAAATGCCTTTTATTGATTAATGAACATTATTACAAAGAGTCAATTTTACAATAATTGATTGGCTCTAGGGCATCTACTCTAACACAGATATGCTGAAGGTTTGCACTGCCCGAAGAAAAATCCCACAAACCATCCCGAATAGTGTCTGAAACCCGAGCATCCCATGGCAAACCAGTGAAAGTCAAGGTTCTAAAAGGGAGCACGCCACATAGAGGTCCCTGCGGAAGCCAGTGATCTCGCCATAATGTTTAAAGTGTATATGGTTACTGTATGAACATATCCAGAGCTACAGATCTGTGTACGCTCGCTGCGGCGATATAACCCATCGCCGCAGCGAGCATTGCTCACGTTGGCGCTGGTGACGAAACCAGCTCTCACAGTGGCGATATAACCCATCGTCGCGGTGATCGTCCTCTGGACGAGCGCTGGTGATGAAACCAACGCTCGCTGTGGCACCAAATCACCGCGGCGAACGTACATTGAGCGTGAACGTCAAGTAACCATATCGTTGACAGGTAGCTACTTTGCTGAATCCGAATCTATCGAGTGGCCATGATGCCTTGCTAGGGGCCAATCTTGGTCTGTGTATTAGTGAGACGATTAATTGGTGTTAATCACATTACTATACACTGCCGATATGATGAGGAGCCTATGGGTCACACACATAGAAGATAATTTAAGATCCAAGAAGAAAGAAGGGCGTTTTCGTCTTTTAAGGTGTAAGGGTATTTTGGTAATTTCACAGTACAATTAAATTTGCTAAGGTCGTAGCCTTTATTTAATTTATTAGAAAATTAAATAAGTGAAATTACGCTTAACTATATGTTCGCATATTTTTAATTAAGTCATCATTATTGTTAAATTTATATATATAGATTAAATATATATTAATTGAGTTTAATTGAGATAATGATGAAATAAATAAAAATATCAAATTGGGAGTGTTTGGTAACATGGGGTGTTTGGGTTGGAGCCCAAGCCTATTCCATATGGGAATAGGGCAACATGATTTACTATATAAAAGAAAAGTGTGTGTTAATTGAAAAATCAATTGATTTCTCTTTGAAAAACAAAACACACAGCAGCCCCTTTTTACACTCCCATGGCAAAAACACTTTAGGCTCAAAAATCAATTCAATTGATTTCCTTTCTTCTTAATCTTGAAGCCAAAGAGGATCTAGCAAATCCCTCTTTGGTTCTTTTGAGATTGTCTTCGTGTGGACTACGTGGATTCGATCCTACACTTGGATCGGTAGCAAAACATTCGTTGACAAATTTGGAGGAGCCTCCAACGTGCGTTTGTTTTCTAAACTCAGATTTATTTTCTGTTGATTTTACTTTAATATAAATTGTAAAATAATACCCTTGATCTTGGCTCATCTAAACGATCCTTGTATTATATTTTTTTTGTTTCTGCTGCGTATATGGGACCGTTTACTAACATGTTGGAATTTCGGTTTTTTGAAGGTTAAATAAAAAGGGGCTAAACTGTCAGTTTTGAAACATGTTTTGCAGTTTTCATTTTCACCCCTGTATTGGTATAAGAAATGATGTGTTATTTTTCAAGTGTTATAACTAACTGAATTTTTATTTCTTTTTCTTAAATAAAAAGCATCATTAGATTCATATGAAATAGTATAGCGTTAAAAAGCCACCCAAAAACCAAAATCCTTTTTGTCCAAAGCTTGCATGTTCCATTTTATTATAATTTCTATTTCTTGGAAAATGATTGAAATATTAATGTGATGATTGGTGAAATATGTTTAGAAAAATTGATATAGTCATGTTAAAGGAAATGCTACAATTGAGAGCTTGGAAATTGGTTGAACTGCATATGAGTTGAGATTTGTGACGTTGATATGATTTCTTGGTAATAGTATAAATGTGGTTAATTTTGTCAATTTTGAGAGTATGTTTGAAAACTTGCATTTTTCCCCCATTTTTGCATGAGATTTCATATGGTGGACATGATTTTCCTTTTATATGAAATATGGTAAATGTTTAAGGAAAAATGATAGTTTGAATAGAGAAATGAGATAAGAGTGGTTTTCAAACCACCCGGCGAAGTACCCGTACCCTAGTGACATAGATTTTGGCTCTGCCCGAGCGATGCAGGATTCTGCTGGGTATGTCTACGCATGCGTATGACAGTTATCAATGCTCTACCTAAGCATTGAGTGGTACGCCAGGTATGACAGTTTCAGAGGCTCTGCCCACGCAATGATAGATCTTGCTGGGTATGACAGGTACGTCCCTTGCTCTGCCTGTGTGTGGGACGCCCACTAGGTATGACAGATTTTCCCCAGGGTACTAGTTGTGGTGAGAGTTTCTAATACCAAATGTTGAGTTCAGAATCAGATACAATTAAAAGAAGCAAGTCAGAGTACAGTTTATTGAGTGCAGGATGGTTAGAAATAAATCACATATTGCATACATGAATGAGATGGTTGCTTCCATTGCATATTCATAGAATTATATTGTCTTCAGGATTTGCTTAAGAATTGTTGTATGTTATCATTATTTCTCTTTTAAAGAACTTTTACAAACCTCCCCTTCCCCCACTCATTGAGTATTTCAGGACACTCCTTTTTAAATGTTTTTCCCCCCTCACCAGGACCTCCCGAAGATCATGCCGAGGAGTAAGTCTCCACTCAGGGTTGTGCCACGCATCGACATCTTCTTATGTGTGTTTTATATTTTATGTCGTATTGTATTTTGGACTTCCGCTTCAGACACTTATGTTTCCCATCATGTATTTCCTTTTGTTTATGTTTGAAATGTGTAATATAAGTGGAAAACCTGATACCACAAGTTTTCCCTGAATCGTTTTTGCAAAACAAAAGATGGTGTATGTTTTTGAAATGTTGGAAATGGAAATACTATGATGTTATTCAGAAAAAATAAGTCTTTTAATAGGTTTCACAGTTTTTCTACATGGCACGTCACGGGTGTCTGAGTTTTATTGGAGCGCCCGGATCCTACGGGATGAGGAAATTTGGGACGGGTCGTGTCAACTCATATCATCGAGAGGTGTGCTTATGCCTTATTACCATCTAAAACATATATTCATCTTTCCTCAACTAGAATACAAGGATATGCTTACGCGTTAAATAGCATCTAAAGCATATATTCATCTTT